CTCCTGCTCCAGCCGGGCCGGGGGGGGCCTCAGGGGCTGCCCCGGGGGCTCAGCCCAGCCTCGGGACGGCGCTGGCAGCCCCACGCGCCGCTCGGCGACAAAGCCAGGAAGGTTGGCGTGAGGGTTTGTTTTTCTGCTCGCTCTTCCTGCGGGGACGATAAGGCAGGAAGAGGCAGGGTGGGAACCTCCTGCTGAGGCATCCTGGACTCCTTCTGGGGTGCCTCCCACCCCAGCCCCAAGGCCTCGGCCCAGGCCAGACCCCCCCCGCTCCGCTCTCCGGCCTTTCTAGGCCAAGTTCAGGTCTAAACAACGAACCGCACGCAAACCTCTGGGCACCGACAATCCATTCAGTCCAATCTCGAGATAAAATTTTAAGGCGGTAAAACGCTTCGGCACACACTCAGCTCCACGCCAGTCTCCTCTGTACGATCTCCCAAGGAAACTTACGGGAGTTTGTGGGCTGGACCCCAAGGAATTGGTCAATTTGAGGCTTCGGGACAAGTTTTCCCGGTAAAGTCAAACAAGTGGCTCAATCGCACCCCAAAGCAGCGGCTCCACGCAAAACCCGAAAGGAAACACCTTCGGCGGGGGAGATGCTTCTCGTGAGAAGAACTGTCAGGTGGGGATCAGGTGCCAGCAGCTGGTGCCGGCCAAGAGGGACACGAAGAAAAATGGGTGGAAGCGGGGAGGACGCACCCGGCCCCCAAGCGAACACGTCCCCGGGCGCCGGGTCTCACGCTGCTCCAAAATCAGAATCCACGAGACTGTTCCCCCCCAAAGCCCAAATCTGTTTCCACTTAAGCCCTGTTCCGTCTTTAGGAGCGGGGTTAGGCTAAGATTTGATAGCGGGGAAAGTCCCGTTCTGGGATGCTTGTGGGCGCGTCTTAAAAGTCCGGAGCGGGCAGGGCTGAAGCCGCCGCCACGGGGGAGGTGACTCTGCAGAGAATTTCTGCTCAAATTCTGCCGAAGATTTCTGCGGGACCAGGGTCGCGTGGCGCCGGCTTAGGGGGATGATTTCAACCTCGACGAAAGGATTTTCACCCGTTCTGTCTCTTCAAAGGTCAGTTTTATCCCCAAAACGTGCCCCGGCGTTTCAGTCCCCAGGGTTACGCCTGGCGCGAGCGCTTGAGCCGAGCTTAAACTCTCACACCCGCCAGAGCAGGGAAGGCTCAACCTGGGGAACACGCTTGTTTAAACAGGTCTAGAAGCGAGTTAAGATTCGAGACTAATCTAATCCTTACAAGAGGAAAAAAAAAAAAATACTTTGAAAGAATAATGCTTTGAAACGACGCTATTCTTTCTAAGAATAATGAATTTTAAAGGGAAAAAAAAGAGCTCTCTGCACTGTTTTTGTTTGATTATGGGCTTTTCACGCTTCCACACAGCAGTCCTGCCCGCGAAAGCCGAACAGGAGCGCGGCCTGCAGAGGTCTAAAGCTTGGAGTTAGTCCCAGTTTCACCAGCAAGCGACGGCTCCAGCCCTTCCCCACTGCTCCCCACCTCCAGCCTCCAGGCACGCGGCGCCGTGGGGAGCAGGCAGGGACCAGACCCTCCGCTCCTGGGTGCCCCCAGCCCGTGAATCTTGGCGGTTTTAAAAAAAAAGAAATTAAAAAAAAACCCAAAAACATCAAATCCCACGCAAACACCTGCACCAGTCCCCAGCTCTCGCCGCGGCACTGGTTCGGACCTGCGCGAGGTGCAGAGGAACGTCACCCGCGCTCCGGCCAGCGCCGCCCGAGTGCCGTCCCTCCTCCCGTTTTATTTTTAGGCCTCGGAGTTGGGGCAGACCGAGCTCCTGCCCGAGGACGGCTCGCTTTTCTTTTTAAAGGGGGCTCCGGTTTATTTGCTCTCCGGCCAGCGCCCCACACAGGCCCCCATGATCCCCACTCCAAGGCCGGGCTTGGCCAGCTGAGCCGCCGCAGCGTTTGCCGCAGCCAGGTTGGTCCTAAGTGGGTAAATGGGTCAGGCTGGATTTCCCCCTGGATTAGTCGCAGCAGGTTTGTGCTCAACCTGCGCTCGGGATGAGTCAGCCCCACGCGCCAGATGTTCCTCCTCGTCTTCCGTTTTTTAGGCGATTATTGATCGTTTTTAACCCTTTCTGCTCCGAACCCAGCAGAATTTCTTGAAAAGCCATTTGCCTGCGCAAGGAAAAGAACGGAGCTGGTTGCCGGCGGGACTGGTGCAAAACTAAGCGAGGAATCAGCTCCTTCGGTGCGGCTTTGCCCTAGGAACGGGGGGAAGCCTGAGCCGCTGCTTCCCAGCTTTCAGCCCAGAGGAGGGGAGCAGCGAGGAGGAGGAGGAGGAGCTGCCGGCCACATTCGCATTGGCTTCCTCAATACAAAAATCCAAGGATCACGTTCTGGGCTTTTCTCTCCCTGCCCTAACGCCTCTCTGCATTGGGGTTCTGGGGGGCAGCCCACGGCCCTCCACAACAGCGGCTTAAAGGGCCGAGAGCGGCCGAAAACCCACAGACCGGACTCCTGCACAGCTTTGCCTAAATCCAAGCGCTGGTCCCAAATCCAAGCGCTGGTCCCAAATCCAAATCCTAGTGCTAATTCCAAGCCCCGGTTCTAAATCCAAGATCTGGTCCTAATTGCAAACCCTAGTCCTAAATCCAAACCCTGGTCCCAAATCCAAGCGCTGGTCCTAAATCCAAGCTCTGGTCCTAAATCCAAGCTCTGGTCCTAAATCTAAACCCTAGTCCTAAATCCAAGTCTTGGTCCAAAATCCAAGCTCTGGTCCTAAATCCAAGCGCTGGTCCTAAATCCAAGCGCTGGTCCTAAATCCAAGTTCTGGTCCTAATTCCAAACCCTGGTCCCAAATCCAAGCCTTGATTCCAAATCCAAGCCCTGGTCCCAAATCCAAGCTCTGTTCCTAATTCCAAACCCTAGTCCTAAATCCAAGCCCCAGTCCTAAATCCAAACCCTGGTCCTAAATCCAAGCCCTGGTCCCAAATCCAAGCCCTGGTCCCAAATCCAAGCCCTGGTCCCAAATCCAAGCCCTGGTCCCAAATCCAAACCCTAGTCCTAAATCCAAGCCCTGGTCCCTGCAGGTAACTACAGACGTCGTTCCGGCTCATGTTAAGGAACAGTACCGAGCCAAGCAAGAACTCCAGCCACCAAAATATAACATAAATACCTTATTGCATCTTTATTTTAAAGCAGCTCTGCTTATCGACCCCCAGCCTTCCAGGCAGACCTTTTTACCTTTCTGACAATCAAGTCGTCACAGAAGTATTTGGAGTTGGGCTGCCAAAATTTCAGAAGTACCAAAGGCAGCCGGTCTGGTTTGATTAGAAAAAACACTGAAAATTCCTTGACAACAACAGATTTTTGGTGGTTTTTTTTTTTTTTCCAACCCTGCTGGTGTTTCTCAACGTTTTGTGTCCACACCCTCCTGGAGCGAACAGCGTGAGGATTGTTAGTGGGGACGGAGGGGAAGAAAAAAAAAAAAAAAAAAGAATTAAGTAAAGTGAGATGGGACAGACTTAAGGTCTCATCTGCAGCAGAACCGAGCGTGCACAATCGAAGAGACTTTCTGATCTTTGGATTTCCGCATCTCTCTGGCTTTTGTCGCTTTTTTTTTTTCAGCACCCCCGCTGCTTTAATACATTTCTTTTCCTCACAACTCTCGGCTGCAGGCAGGAAGAGAAGCCCCAAACCACATTCCCAAGCCTATCCCTGCCTGACCTGCCCGTGGGTAACGTCAGGAACGGGGGCCCAAGGAATCGGGGAGCTACACGGATCGAGAAACAAAAATTTTCCTCATACTTCAAAGAGCCCCCGGGAGTTTTTCAAACAGGAATAAACTCCAAGAGTGGAGCCTGGTGGGTTCTGGAGCCTGATTTATTTATAAAGAATCCCTCGGACTACACGCCTCACTTCAGAATATGAGAATTGATATTCAAGGCCTGCCCCTGTTTTGCATCCAGATGGATGTAAACCCATAAAGATCAGAAGGGACAGATTTCTCCTTGACGTGACTGTGCAGCACAAGGAAACTTGAAGCAGGTACGTCCTAGACCCACTTTGGGACCCTTTTTGCAAAAGGCAGAACGTTTTATTTTTCATCCCTACACAGAGTATTTTTTTTTTTTCCCCTCCCACACTTTAAAGCTCGTACTTACAGTATATTCACCGGGCCATGCAGATGGTCTCATGAAGGGATAAGCTGCCCACAAATACACAGCTCTAACAACAGAACCAGCTCCAGAGGCTTGTTTGTCTCCTGCTTCGTAAAAAAAAAAACAGGATGGATATCCCTTAAGCCATCCCCCCCACCCCTGTAAACACAGATGTTGATCGCAATTTAAGTTGGACGGGTAAGAACAATGAGAGCCCAGGATTAGTGCTCTTACACGGGCTGCTCAGCGCATTAATATAAAAATCTCCTTGTTTATTGTGACATGTCAGCCCTAATCCGGCAAAAATAAGTAACAGTTCGTTAAAGGAAGGCCGGTGGATTACCGCAGGAGTTAGGACACAATCAAATCTAGGTTTCCTCACGTTAAGACACCTCAGTGCTGAACGACCCGGCCCCTTTGCTAGTTCACGCTCCGAGAAGAAAAGTTCTTCGCTGCTCAGGTGTCCTGAGCTCCACAGCACAGGCTGCTCCTCCTCGGAGGGCAGGAGCCCTCGGACAGGGCTCGGCATTACTCACTCCAAAGTTCTACGGTTTTATTATAATTAGCATGGCCTCTCGTCACCAAGAACATCTTATCCAAGCCACTAGGGAGAAGCAAATCATTCGGGGCAGGAGTGTTTTCAGAGCGGGATCCTTGGAGCTCCTGGACAGGACCTTGTAGTAGTCAGCCCTTCAAAAGCAACAGCCTTTTCCCCACCACCACTACCTTTTTCTTTTTTTTTTTTTTTCACTTTGAAATGCAAATTCTGATACAGTATCCTAGTTTTTCCGTAAATAATTCAGAGACTGCGCCAAAACGTAGTCACGGGAGAAGCCCTAACCAGCTAATGTTACTCATTACGGCACAAATCTAAGAAGCGGAGCCCAACAACCAAGCTGCAAATCTTGGAACTTCGTAAAAGTCAAAGGAGAAAGTTGCCCAACGTCACCTCTGAGGGGTCAACAGCAGAGCTGGGACCAGAGCCCAGAGCTCAGCCCACCCCCTCACGCCCCTCACCGCCGCCTTCCTCCTCCTCTCCAAACGCTGCTGGCGAGTTTTCTCTGCCCCCCCCCGCCTTCAAGTGACGGGTTTTGCTGAATCTGCCACACTGATGACAATTTCGGGGGCAGGTCTCAACCTCCAATACGGTGTGAAAAACTCCACCCCACCGGCGATCTCCTGAGGGTTAAAATCAGCCTCAGAACGCTCTGGCAGACCTAGAGGTCGCAGTGGGGAGCCAGGCTGAAGCAGGTTTTTTTGTGTCCTTGCAAGATGACAATTTACTTGATTTCTTTCTTTTTATCAACCAAAGAGCCACTAGTATGTCCCCCGATCATTATTTTTTTTTTTTTTTTTTACTATTTCTAGGCTTGGCTAAAACAGGATTTAGTTCAAAGGCTACTTTGTAAAGCAGACAGTTGAGCAAGCTGGGTAATTTGGGCAGGAATCGGTCGCTATGTGGGCTAATACAGACTTGCCTTTGTAACCCACTTCCTAAAAGCAATTTACTTCTGGGCAAGCATCAGTTCAGCTTTCCAACTGTGACATTAAGCTAAAGTAAGGGCCGAATTTCAGAGCAGGCACTGGGAATTTGGAGGGTTTGGGTGTTTTGTTTTGGTTTTTTTTTTTTTTCTGAGCAAGTGACGACGGGAGCTGCTGGATTTCCTTGCGTGAGGATTGTTACTGCTTCTGTGCAGGCAGCTATGGAGCCTGGAGAGCCCTTAGAGGTGTGAGGAAGGGCAAAAGTGCAGGGAATTTATAAATATCACCCTGGAGTCTGATGCAGCAGCAGTGCACGTCCGTGGTCTGAAGACCAAGGGGGGGGTTTTAGCCACCTCCTCGCTGCACTTGAGTCCACCTGTCAGCGAGCTCAGCGACGGGCCTGACCGTGGTTATTTCTGACACCCAAGAGCCTGTTCCTGAACTCCAGGAGCCGGTTGGGACACCCAGAGCTGTTCAGTCAGCTCCGAAAACTTCATCCCAAATGCTGAGGAACGGAACTTTTGCTTCCAGGGCCGCCTTTTGTTGGTGTTTCCACAGCGAAGCTGCGCTCACAGCCCGGTTCGGAGCCGGGCGCTGCTCCCTTCAAGCTCTGAGCAGCTGCTGCACCACGCCAGGTTCTCTCCCAGGACTTGGATTTCGCCCTGATTCCTGCTGCGACACACGGGAGAGCTGTGGGGCACAATTCCTGCTGGCCAGAGCAAGGCCTGGAAGAATTCCCACCCCTCTGCTGGGCTCGCAGCAAACAGCTCGGAGAGGGAACAAGCCCCAGTATGGCTGAAATTTTCACCTGGGCTCAAACACTCAGATGAATAATTTGGGTTCAGGAAACATTGTTTGTATTTAGAAATCAGCCCTTTCACGGGAAATTCCGTATCGACAGGAATTTTGGGCCAGCTATAGCAAAGCAGTCGGAGGTTTCTGTCCGAGCTGTCCCAGGCTGTAAATCCCGGCTGGGGAACCTCCCCCAGCCCAGCACCAGGGATGTGAAACACCATCAGCGCCGCCAGCCCGCCCCGGCCCGCCCCGACAGCAGCTGCTGGCATGGCCCAGAGACATGACCTTGGGATCCAGGGAGGCTCGAGCTCAGGGATCCAGGGAGGCTCGAGCTCAGGAATCAGGGAAGCTCGAGCCTGGGGATCAGGGAAGCTCGAGCCTGGGGATCAGGGAAGCTCGAGCCTGGGGATCAGGAAAACTTAAACTCAGAAATGAGGAAAACTCAACCTCCGAAATGAGGGAAGCTCGGCATGGCCAGCGCTGCCAGCGTTGCTCAGCACCTGGGGGAATCGAGCCCTTACAAATGTCTGGCCTCCCAAGAAAGGCAACTCAGAGCAAACCAATAAAGCGAAGCTCCGCTCTCCAGGGAGCAAGGCAGAAGCCCCAGCCAATCCTCTGCCGGCATGTGGGCGGCCGGGAGCCTGCTGGCGGTGTAATCCTGAGCTCGGTTCTAATCATAGGTACCTCCGCGGCGCCGCGAGCGAACGCACCCGCTCCAGACTTCAGCAGGAGCCGTGAGCCCACAGTTCTGGATTCCTGTGTGCTGCGCTGGCTCCTCATTCGTATTAGAGTGTGGGGTGAATTATAAGCAGGAAAAAAAAAAAGATACATATCTCCTTCCTTGCCCTTGAATTCAGTAAAACACACATTAAACCTTCTGCTTGGCAATATGTCCCTCAGCCGTAACGAGCAGAGCTGAGCTCAGACCATTTACACACATTTCCGTGTTTTACTGCGTGATGAAGATCCCTCGGGCGTCACAAATTCAGGCTCACGTCAGCAGTTTCACATACGCAGAGTCCACGGGAGGAGGAAAAAAAAAAAAAAACAAAAAAAAAAATCCGGGTTATTACCTTTTTGTGTTGTGGATCGTGGTCCCGCCCAGGACGATCCGGACGCCCGAGTTGGTGCGGTTGAGGTTATAGACAGTCAGTGCCTCTTCGTACGTTGCCCCTCCGATGATGAACACGATAATATCTTGGGGCCTGTGATAAAGACACAAATATCAGAAATTATCAGACAAAACACGCCGATTTAACAGGCGCCGACGCAACGATCCTGAAGATTTCTCTCCCCGGACCATGACTTCTTTCTGTGAGGGGCTGGGCTCGAGACTGACAACAACGTGCAGCCCATTAAAATGGCTTTGCAAACGTTGTCTCTCCGAAACGTCCCCAGAGCGTGCCGACGGTCCTTAAAAGCCTCCTGAGCAACGCCCCCACGCCGCGTCCCCGCGCTCCTCCGTGACACACGCGCCGATGTTTAATGCATGACTGAGACGCGGCTGCGGCTGGTAAATTAAGATCAATTCAGGAGTCAAACGAGGACAACAGTCATCCGGGCTTGGTTTGAAGGGCTGGTTTTGCTGGCTGATTACAGAACTGCTGGGATTCGTGCATCGCTTTACCTCGGAGGTTCCATTCCCCAGCTGGCCTAGAAACACGGGCTGTTCCACAGAGCCGTGGCGTGAGGGGAGAGGGGGCGAAGGAGGGAAATGCCTCCGCCTGACAAAACACAAACCCAGCCGCACGCCCGGCGCCCTCTGCTCTCGGAGGAAGGCTGCACCTTCCTCGTGGCCACCCTCCCCAGTCACTTCGGTGTCCCACTCTCAGGGACAGCAGAACCTGCTGGCAACCCGTAAATCATCCCCGCTGCCATCTACCCGCTGAGAGACCCGTTTCTGCAGAATCTACAGCACGGAGGTGTGGATGACATCCCGTCAGCCACCCGCTCGAGTCACAGCAGCCTCAAAACTCAGCCCTGCTAGAAGCCACCTGCTTGCCTGCTCCATCCGGGCGAGCTCCGGATCAGTGACAGAGCAAATGGAGCGTGAGACAGGGATGACCCTGGAATGCACCCGGGCTCTGCATCTCTGGTTCCTCCCCGCTGAGAAGCCAACCTGGGAAGCCCTCGACACCTGTAAGCGTCCAGAGCAGCAACACGGGCGTCGGAAGGATGAACATCAGGGAGTTTTTGGCATCACTGAGCAGACAGCACTACCAGGAGCAAAACTGCTGCTGCCCTCAGACGGGGACAGTGCTTCAGAAGGAGAGCGTCAGCCAGCAGGTCCACACAGCTGCCTCCTGCCCCCCCCCGAGAGGATGCGGAAAGGTAAGAAAAATTAACAGAAAAGAGTGCACATGCCCCCTTCCCAAAGTCGTCTTTGTTACCAAACACCTGCCAAATCCTAAGTCTCTTCAGAAAGTTTGGGTTAGGGCTGCGTAAGACGATTTGGACAGACAAAAGGAGATTTCAGAGATGCTCTGGAAGGTGCCGGGTGTCTCCCTTGGGAGAGGGAATGCTGCAGGCCCGCGGGGACCCCATCGGTTCAGGCCCACCGCCCTCTGGTGCCACACAGCACGATGAACGCAACATCCAAAAAACCATGTCGCACTCAGCACAGCCCTTCTGCAGGTACTACAGGATTTGTCATCCTCGGGGACTACAATAACTCTAAAACCAGCCAAGACCTCCAGCTGCGGTTCACTGCACGGCTTCCTCGGAAAGAAAAGGGCTCAAAGCAGAATCTTTTGTAAGAAGGCGGCAGGAGCGGAACACGGAGGGGAGGGCAGCGCTGCCCCCAGGATTGCCCCGAAGCAGAGCCCGGGGGTGCGGAGCTGCGCCCCGTCCCCTGCGTGGTGACACCCTGTGAAATCCTGCCACTGCAGCCTGGAAATGAGCAGGTGACAGAGAGCGGCTGCACATTCAAATGTCTCACTGAGGCAGATGAAAGGTTTTGCACCTGAGCGACAGCACAAGTCACCGAGCCAGCCCCGAGGACAGCAGAGCACTCGCTGGCCTTTGTCTTCTTAGCCACAGTCAGGCATCCGGCCCTGGAAAATCGATTCAAACCTGCCCCATCTTTTGGAGAGGGAAACCAAAGGGAAGGGGATTCCAGCGACGGAATCATCTGATGAGCTGCTGCCAGCTGTCAGGACCAGAACCCGAAATCTCTACGAGGTGACTTTTATGGGATGGGTGTGAAGGAGGCGGCGGGAGCTCGGGGGACAACGTGTCGCGGTGAGAGTGTCACACGTCCCCGAGGTCCAGCAAGGCCCCAGGGGTGAGGTTCTGCTGCTGACTGCACCACTGGAGCCACAGACAAACCAACCCGGCAACCTCCTGCCTTGTGCAGAGCGAGATCCCCAGGATCAGTCTCCCAGCACCACCATTTCCACCTTTTTGCTTGAAACGACCAAAAATCTGCAGAATTTAGATGCCGAAGTCACGTGCCCGGCCCTCATACGCTCCTCCAGCACATCCTAACGTGTACCAGCTTTTAAATATGCCATTGCCTTCCCGTGTCACCATGGCAGCAGCCTAACCCTATGCCTAAGTGTAGGGTTAATCCTTAGATTAAGCCTGGCCTCTCTCCCGCTTCAGGGGCCTCGCTCAGAGCTGATCCCGCGGGTTTCTCACAGAGCAGAAGCGAGCGAAGCCCCGCAGGGGAGGCGGCCCCAGGAAGGACAAAGGGACCTTGGTGCTGTCACGCAGCAATTTTGGAACAGGAAGAAACTCCTGGACTGTTAGAGGATTAGTGGGAGAGCGATCTCCTCGGACCCAGTTTGGGGCTGCGGCTGCGTTATCTCCCCAGGTGAGCTATCAGTTTAACAGCTGAATGCTCAAAAACTTCAGACAGGAACAAACAAGGACACAGTCAGAGTTTTGCCCTAAAAAAAAATAAAAACAAACCGCCAAACACAATCCACAAAACGCAAGCCATACTAAACACAGGATATCTGCATGATTTAGGAACAGCACCACCGTCCCTCATCCTGCGGGCAGGATGTGCGAGCTGCGATGAAACAGCACCCAGCCGAACGGTTCCACACCACGTGCTGTGAGCTGCTGCTTCCAAAAAAGGAGATTTTTTTTTTTTTTGTGTGTGTTCGCTGCCTCAGGAGGTACCTCAGCCACCCCCTTAGAGGTCTGTCAGACGTTTCGAAATGGTTCCAAACTCTTCCTCTCCTCAAGCCGTCAACAGGAGCTTCCCCCTCCGCAAAGCAGTGGGGAAAAAAAGATTGTGTGTGGTCACAGAACACCCTAAACCAGATTATATTGGTGAGTTCTCAGCACAGAAAACCCTAAACCAGACGATATTGGTGAGTTCTCAGCACAGAACACCCTAAACCAGACGATACTGGTGAGTTCTCGTGCTCCACGTTTAAGGCCGAACCGTGACGGGCTTTCAGACGCGGGAACTTGGCAAGATTTTTCCCTCAGCAGGTAAGTGACTGGTAATCCTGGGTCTGCAGGGAGCAGTGGGCCTTTTCCCACCCCCTCTGTCCTGGGCTCTGCCTGGCCTAGGCCAAGCCTGGCGGAGCAGGGTGGGTTTGAGGAAGCGCAGCAGCGCCAGAGCGGCCTCGGGCGCCGACGTCGACCGTGACGACGCCAGAACCGGATTCCAGTCACCTCAGGTCGGCAGCGCCAGGCCCGGTTGGTCCGGTCGGAGGAACGTTGGAGAAAATCCCAGGCCGGAGCCCAACCCAAAGGCAAAGCTGACGGAGGCTTTGGCTGGGCCTGGCCTAAGCGGCCGCAAACCTGGAGGCGTTTCTCAGGGCGCAGCCGTCCGGGGCCGAGCAAACCTTGAGGGATTTTTCTAGCCCGGACTTTCCAGCAGCAAGGTGGAGGGGGCTGCAGCTGACGGCGTGTGAGAACAGGCCGGTATTAACACAACAGGATGCAGAAGAAAGCCAACGTGCTTATTTCTCTCTCCTAGGAACCCTGCTCAGTGCTTTGCAAAGATTCCCTTCCCCTCACCAGCTGAATTTGGACCGGGAGTTTTTCCTCCCTTGCGACAGCGTCATGTTTAATACAGAAAGAAACAGTTTAAAAAGAATCCTTTCAAATTCTTTGCTGTTCAGGCAACTGCGTCCCTTTGATCGCAAAATACAAAGCCTCTCGCCCTGACCTTCTGCTGAACTCCTGCCAGTCAGGGTAACACCATCCTCTGGAAGCAGAGAGCCAGGAGACGGCGTAGCCCAGTTTGCCTTGGGCTGTGATTTATTACACCAAGTTCTGTGAAATTATTAAATTTAAAATTCCTCGCTCGAGAGGGTTTGGCGTTAAGGCAAAACCCATCGAGCGGGCTTTTTTTTTTTTCCTTCCAAACCCGATAACTAAAACCCTGTTTTTTAGATGAGCCCCCATTTTCAGGATATCAAATATTCGTCCTTTTAGAGATAACACGGTGCTGCGGCCCCTGGTTTAGGCAGCAAGCAAAGACCAGACCCAAAATAGTTAAATGCCTTTTGCTGACAGATACAAACCCTCACTCTGACAGCTCCTAGGTCTTAAACTCCGCAAGATCAACCATTCCCATCAGGAAACAAGCCCGTGCCCTGAGGCTTTTGCCCATTTTGCAGACATCTGACCCAACAGCAGCACTGTGGGACGCAGCCATTGCCCCAAGGACAACCCCAGACCGAAGGACGACCGAGAGAAATTTAAGGGAAAGAACGGTTTGGAAGCTCTGCCTTTGGATTTTGAGCTTTACTTCAACCAAACTACAGGATTCACCTCTTTTAGCTAAGAGAGAAGTGCTGCGGAGAAGGGAGGGAGATGCCAACTCCATTTCCCTTTATCCAACCTCTGTTTTCCTTCAGTTTGAGGCAGGAATTAAATCCTTCTCATGCTGCCCCAAATAAATTATTTGCCTGTTCTTTGTATCAGGATTCTCAGGGGAAGATCCCTGTATCCTTTTCTGGAAACATTAAAGAGGAATCTAGGTGAAACGCAGCTCAGGAAAACATAAGTGGCAACTGAAAAAGAGAAGATAAAGGTCAGAAGACCATTTTTATTTTTTTTCTAGTTAGCTCAGAACAAAGGCAGGTCAGGGATGCCTGGACAAGTTACCGCTGCTCTGCAGGTCTCATTTCAAACCTACCACAAGCTGCATCCGCCGAGCTCTTTGTTGGGCTGAAATCCATCTCATCGAGAGCTGGTTTCAAGGACAGAGAGGAGAGCGTTTCTGTTGCTAGGGGCCTTGATATTTCACACCTATTAAAACCACCCACCCACCCTATCCAAAATCCACTATTTTATTTTAAGGGGAAAATCTGGAGCAAGGCAGATTTTTTTTTTTTCTGGTTTACCAGGGACATACACAAACGAATTGTCTCTTCTGTGACTGTAATTCTTTCTTATTCATAAATAAAATGATGAACGTCCCCTGCTGTCAGCCTGGCATGGAATTTAGATGCCTCCCTGCTACAAAATATAGTTCTGCTTTCATCAGATGGCTGGAGATGCCCCAAGGCAGGGCTAAGGAGGACAAGCAGCGTGCGGGTGCCCCTCAAAGAGAGTCAGAGACAAATGCTCCCTCCTCAACACGCTCCCATACCTCCCACCCACTCGACACGGCCGAACCTCAGTCGCCAAGTCTACTTCTCTCCTGCTCTAAATAAGTCTGGGTTTATTTAACCCAAACTGCCCTGCAACAGCCACCTCGTTTGTTGAGAATTAAACTACCTTGAATTTATTTTCTGCTTTGCTAGAAAAGTGGCAGCTGCTGATAAAAAGCCAGTCGCACCCAGCGCGGGAAGGGAACGACGATCGGTCTGATGCTGCGAGTAAAAACATCTTCCACGGGACGCTGGGGGCACTGAACAGACATCGGAGAAGATTCAGAAAATCCCGGCGATGATCTCATCACGGATCACCCAAAGGGAGCAAAGCAGCAGCAGGCTACCACAAGAAGGGGTGAGGAATACCCCTGGAAAAAAAAATGGACTTATTTAGGGCAAGGGAACGGCGGCACCGAAGGAAGAAGCGAGCGGCACAGGATGGAGGACTTGGCATCTTCTCTGCAGCGGTTCAGTGCCCTCAGGCCGAGGCCCACGTTCACCTTTAACGACTTCGCTGACGAGAGATAAGCTCAGCTCCAGCAAAGTCAGCTCGAACCAGACAGCCAGAGATCTTCTCCATCGCAGTTATTAGCCATATTCAGCAAGATCCCATTCTCATCAGGAATAGTAACTGGCTCAGAAGGGAGCGCTTGCAGTTGGACTATTTTTGGTGCTCTACAAATAAACGCCAGATGGCACGGAGTGAAGTTAGGGGGCATGTTGAAATCCATCATGTGAACATCCCGGCGGCTTGGTGCAGTGGCTTTATCCTTTACCTGAGCCCTTACAAAGGGAACGTCACACCTCGGCCAGCACGAAAAGACCACAGCATTTCAGTCTTAACAGCCCTCTCCAGGGCACCTGCTTGAGAATACAAGACCTACACGACCAAGACATTTCTCTGCCAAGCCTGTTCTGTTCATCTATAGGCAACCAAGAATGAGAAGTGGCAGTGCTGGGAGGAGCAGACACATCTCAGCTCCAAGCTCGGCGCTGAGAGGCCCCACGTACCTGTCACGGAGAGTGTTGGGACCCAGGTAGGGGTACTGGCTGTCCTTGAGCTTGCCTTTGATGAGCTGATCGAGCGTTTCGTGAAGGAGAGGCTGGTGTTGCGTGTACACGTTCTCAACACCCTGCGGGGCAAGAGGAGCTCGTGTCATGAATTCTTACAGCAGCAAGGAGCCCAGCAGAGGCACTGAAAAGGAGCATCGTCACCTGATGGATACATCGAGTGTTAACCACCGAGATCCAGGTTTAGAGAGGCTTTTCAGCCATAACTCCCATTGTCTTCGATGAGAATTATGCCCTAAAAGCCCAGAGCACTTGCTATTAAATCTCTGAAATCCACAGCACGCGGCACTGCGCCGCATGGCAGTCCTGCTCCGTGACTGTAATTTTGCCTAAAACTGTCACTATTTCATCCGTGGCAGAGCCCTACCTTCAGTCCTTTGAGGAACTGTTTGGTGATGGCCACAGCGTCCTTGGGACTGAACAGGTCGCTGCCACGGATCCGTTTCCCTCCGTACTCCACCACGGCAGACACCAACTGTACAGAGAGAGGCAAAACCAGGATCCCGTTAAGCAGGGAAAGTGGTATCTGGGCAGTTTTAGTCTAGTTAAGCGCAACAGAGGTACCAGAAGGACGACTGAGGAGTTGGGGGAGATCGATGCCAAGAGGTAAGGCAGCGCAGAGAGAGGCAAGGGGGAGGAGAGGGAGCGTTCCCCGCAGCCACCAAGCAAGTGGCTCTGCCGCGCCGCTGCATGCCGAAGGAGAGAGGCTTTTTCATTTCCATCGTCTGCTGCAGTGACAGCAGATCCTCCACACAGCGTGACATCATCCTGCTCCTCCACCTCCTCTCCAGCTGCTCACTACACTTGCCAAGCGCTGCCACCCTCTCCCTCCCTGCCAAGCTCCTTCTACAGGCTCCAGAAATCCTTTGCTGCAACTATTGCCTATTCAGCAGGAGCCGGGGGAAAAGTGGTGGGGAGGAAGAGGAGAAGGGAAGCACGTTCCCAGCCCTGTTTCTATGCCCCGCACTGGCATACTGGCCATCTCTGCTTCATTCAGCCCTCCCCAAGGTCACCGACTGCAGAGAGCGGCGATGAGTGACGTCCTCAGGGGCCGGGGCCAGAGGGACTGAGCGCGCCCTCGGCACGTTCCCTGCTGGCACCGAGATGTGGGGGGGGAGCTGGAGGGAAGGGACCCCTCCCCAGGGGCCTGGGCAGGCTGGAGAGGGGGGACGTGACACCCTCACAGAGCTCAACAAGGCCAAGGGCACGGTCCTGCCCACGGGTCGGGGCAATCCCCAGCACAAACCCGGGCTGGGCCAGGAGGGGCTGGAGAGCAGCCCCCAGGAGAAGGGCTTGGGGGGGCCGGGGGGTGGAAAACTGCCTGTGAGCCACCAACGGGCGCTGGCAGCCCAGAAAGGGCCCCGTGTGCGGGGCTGCACCCAGAGCAGGGTGGGCACAGGGCCGGGGGGGGATTCTCCCCCTCTGCTCCGCTCTCTGAGACCCCCCTGCAGGGCTGGGTCCAGCTCTGGGGCACCAACAGCAGAAGGACATGGACCTGCTCCAGCGGGGCCAGAGGAGGCCACGGAGATGCTGGGGGGGCTGGAGCTCCCCCTGTGAGGACAGGCTGGGAGAGTTGGGGGGTTCAGCTGGAGGAGAGAAGGCTGCGGGGAGACCTTAGAGCAGCCCCCCAGGGCTGAAAGGGGCTGTGGGAAAGGAGAGGGGGATAGGACGAGAGGGACGGGGTTTAACCTGAGAGAGGGGAGATTCAGGTGAGATCTAAGGCAGAAATTCTCCCCTGGGAGGGGGGTGAGGCCCTGGCACAGGCTGCCCAGGGAAGCTGGGGCTGGCCCCTCCCTGGAAGGGCTCAAGGCCGCATTGAACTGGGCTTTGGGCAACCTGGGCTAGGGGAAGGTGGCCCTACCCGGGGCAGGGGGTGGCACTGGGTGGGCTGTAAGGTCCCTCCCAACCCAAACCAGTCTGGGATTCTACAATTTTGGAAAGAGAAGCGATGAGTTTTGCCTTTCAAAGCGACACCTGCAGGCCTCAGCCAAGGTCAAGGTTCTTTTCACAAGGTGCAGCCCAATTCCACAAGCCAGCACCGTGCCAGAGCCAAGCAGACGAGCTTTACACCAACTAACAAGGGTTTTCCACCTCCGTGCCCTCCTGTCCATCAGCGGAAGGGCGAACCACGACAATTACCTTTCGGTATTTCTCCGAGACCCCCCGGCTCTTCAGGTCTGCCAGCAGCCCCGGCAGGCTGGCGCTGCTGTGCCGCTCGTAGTGGAGGGCGTAAAGCATCACCAGGCGGGCAGCGTCCAGCTCCGACACCCGGGGGTTCTGCAAGAGGCGCCGCACGTTCTGCAGCGAGACAAGAGAGCAGCCTTAGCAGAGAGGCCTTCAAAGGACCTTAAATCAGACTAATATCAACTGCCTAGCAACAAAACTGCCTGCGGGAGGAACGCAGGAGAATTAAATTGTGCCATAAGCAGCAGATCCCAGCTTCTTACGCGCTCCGCGGCCGGATTTATCGGAGTACGACGGAGTGCAAGTTGCTCTGGGGTCTTTTTTGTGAAGCTGGGGATTCATAACCCGAGTCTGTTGTCCATTTTTAACTCTCCCTAAGGTGCTGCGGGGTGAGCTCAGGTTACCGTGTGCCTCCCCCGAAGGAGGCACTTCCAGAACCCTCTGCCCTTCTTCCCCTCCCACCTCGAGGAGAGCCAGAACTGGCCCACAGGTTCCATTGTAATATTGGCTGTCAAGAAAAAAAAAAAACAAACACAAAAAACCCTAACCTAGGATAATTACACAGATTTGGTTTTCTTTTGGAAGGTGCAGGGTGGAAGCATTCAAGTCTCAGGTAACCTTTGGATGTGGGAAGCGAGGCGTGAGTATCAAATATTTGGAAGCAAAGTAGGAAGGGATTTGAAGCACGAAAAGGAAGGTTACGGCACTGGAGGTAAATACAACAATCGTTACTTCTAACATGCAGATTGTTGATTTTTCTGCTGAATCCAACGCGATACCGTAAATCCAAACTGCCTGTTAGGGTAGAGCCCCTCCCCAGAAAAGCTGCAGAACCCCCCCCCCAGGAATGGCAGGCAGGGTCTCACTGCTCGTGGAAGTTGACAACTGGCCACGTTCCTTCTCTCGTTACAAGAAAAAGCCCTTCCCTCCCCTCTGCAACCTCTCAGCCATCGTGTCGGGTCACGGAGCTGAGCTTGGAGTTAAGAGAACAACCACCAGAGCCAAGCTGGGAGCTTAGGTGAGCGCTGGAAGTAATAAGCTTCTTAAGTCCCCCAGCTTTGGGATGGATTCCCAAGAACAGGCCTCGACTACCAGATGTGTTGGCAGACATCTGGTCAGGGCTGGACAGGCCAGGAGCTTTAGGTCTGAAATTCTCCCTGTGCTGAACACGAAAGCAGAACAATCAGCCTGGATTAGCTCGAACGCACGGCAGCAGAGGAGCTGCTGGTTTTACAGCCACAGGAACAGCAGCTCCAGGTGAGGGAGACAGAACCAGTTTGGATTTTTTGGAAATCCCAGCACAGCTCTGCAAGATTCTCCCTCCCTCCCAGCTCAGGTAGGCAACACGGAAACGTTCAGCGTTGCCGAGCTGCCGTTGTTCACCACTGCCAACCGGGCTTGACGGATGCGGAGCAGTTCTGAAAACACAGGATAAAATCCTGGCTTTGGGGAGGATCAACGGGAGTTTTACCTTTAACCCTGGCAAGGCCAAATCCACCTGGGAGGGTGGGGACAGAGTCCCACGGAGCCCTTTGCCCGTGAGCTCCCTGGTCCTGGCGCTGGCAGCGCAGTGGCAGTGCCCATGCGAGCGGGAAGAGTCTAAAACAGAGCAGCTATTGTCCCCGCGAGGAGACAGGACTCAAACCCGCCCATTCAGCTCGGGAGGCTCACGTACTGTGTCAGGATTAATAAGAGATCGGGGAAGAATAACCAAAATGTACTGTACTCAGGGGCCCTGGGCCACCAGAGGAATTAACGATCGCTGAAGTTACATCAGTGGGAGAACAATTCTGCCTTTATTTCAGGCACTGGCTTAATTCTTCATTGTTTCTGTGGCCTTGGCCCTGTGCTGCCATTTGGAGACTGCACCAGGGACCCGCCTGGGGCAGCGCAGCTGAGGAGATACTGATCTCCCATCTAGAAAGACACCGCGTCCATCCTTCTGCCTTTATTTCCCAGCTGCTACACGTTTTCCAGTCGGTCTCAGTTGTTAGAAATACAATAGAGCCCTTCAGGCGTGTGGCTGTAAGCAAAGCGCAGCTTTTCGGCCTTAAAAACCGCAGAAATACTTAGTCAGTGCGAAATAAGGCCTGAATTAGCACCCAGGTGAACTCCAGTAGCCACCCTGACGTGACAGCACCCGGCCGCCTCCTAGCACCGCTACGGACTCGCAGGGTAAAGCGGCATCACCACAAGTTCACGTCATCCTTGTCTTCAGCAACTCTGAGATAACTTAATAAAAAAAAACCAAAAAAACAAACAGACCAACCATTTCCAAAATGGTCTCCAGTGCCAAGCACCCAAGTTTCAAGACAAACCCTCCGGACTGTGTGAATATGAGAAACGGGCGATGGCAGCGCGGACACGGCGGGCTGGCGGGTTAGAGCGCAAATATTTGACTTTTAAGCCACAAAAACTTGATGGAGAAACAATGACATAGCAAAAGAACCTCAGAGGCTGCTTCCAGCAACTGCATTTTATGGCTGCGTTCCCACTTCAATACTTAAAAGTCATGGAAATCCTACCAGATACAAGCTATGGAATCCTATCTCTGTGCTCGCCAAGCGATATAGCTGCGATGACTTCGGGCCTGTCCTGATTCACAGCAGCTCAGGATCTGGTAAGAGATTACAGCTTGAAGAGTCTAATATTATCCCCAAGCCACCCACTCGAAGCACAGAATTACAGAGGCAAAGAAGCCAGGCGTTCCAGATCTCCCGAGATGTTTTATCTTTCTTTTCTGCTCCTCCAGTATTGCGTAGAGGAGCCCATGGCGTAACTTCTACCTTAGCTCAAAAAAAAAAAATTAAGGAATTGGTTTTTAATACGGGTTGAACTCTGCTCGAACACGCTCGCACCCAACAATACAGCTATTTTCTGAGAACTGTCAGCAGCCACAATTCATCACTACTGACACGCTGGCGGATACCGGGTCAGGTCATGGAATCCACCAAGCCAGCACGGGGTCAAAACTTCAGTCTCTACTCAGCTATAACAGAAGGCTCTGTTAGGCTTTTTCTGTCTTTGCCAAAGAAATCTTTTATCTAAGAGGCTTTCCACTGTTTTGGTGTGTGGGTTTTTTTTTTTTTTTAAAAAAAAAAAAAAAAAAAAAAAAGGTAGAAGCCAGCACCTCAATGAATCGTCTGGTTTAGACAGTTTCATGGATTCCATTTCTTCTCCTCCCTGACAAATACAAGAAGTTTCTGCACAGGGGCTCCAAGTTGGTTGGTTTGGGGTTTTGTTTGGGGTTTTCTGGGTTTTTTTTGCGTTTTTTTTGAGTGGTGCCTGCGGAGGCAGCCTGCCAGAAGCCAACTGACTGCACAGAACGAAGGAATGTTGTGTTGTGAAATGTAAAGACAGAATTTGCAGCGATGCCTCTCAAGCCAGTTATTAACTATGATTCATCCCCATCTGAACCTCCCGGGGAGGAGAAGAGTAATTCCAACATCTAATGTCCCAACCTGCAGAGTATCTGCGGGCAGAACTCCCACAGATTTTCAGTATGAAACTTCCATCACCAGGGGATCAAACCATCGAAATTCCAAGGTTCAAGGTTAAGTTCTGAGCCCGGGGTACCTGCAGAGCACTGGAATGGTCATTCTGGCAGGCCAGCTCCTGCTCCACTTCCGACACCTCAAGCAGGTTCCGCTCCCCGACCAGGCGCGAGAGCTCTCCCACCACCGTCACGTGCTTCGACACCGTGCCCGACATCTTCTTGAACTGGGGGTAATTCTCCACGAAGGCCTGCAACGGGGAAACCAAAGCAACCGGTTCTTCAAAAGGAAAAGCAAGAGACAGGGGATGGCTGCAAGCCAGCCACAAACTGTCCAAAGCAACGGGTATCGAAAGAAGCAAGACCAGTGCGGGTGTGCGGATGATCCGGCACCTCGATCCTTAGCCCAGAGGATTTCTCCACTTACCAGGAGGCTGTCGGAAGGGATGGACTCTGTATTTATGTAAAATAAAAGGAGACGGGAAGTATCTCCAAAATTCTTTAAATCTTGAGCAGTGACTGAAGGAACAGCCGTTGCTCTGCGCTGCTGCCAAGTGACCCGGCTCAGGCAGAAAGTCCACGGCCACGCCGGGGCTGAGCGCGCCCCCGGCACGTCCCCCGTCAGCACCGGGCTGTGGGCCACGTCCTGGGGGAAGGATCCACCCCGAGGGGCCTGGGCGGGCTGGACAGGGGGGACCTGCCAACCTCACGGAGCAAAACAAGGCCAAGCACAGATTGTCTGTACCCGGCTTGTATCGCACCAGCGTGGCCAGCAGGGACAGGGAAGGGATCTGAGCCCTGGAGAGGCCGCCCCTCGATTCCTGGGTTCAGTTTTGGGCCCCTCACCCCAAAAAGGCCATTGAAGGACTCGAGCGTGGCCAGAGAAAGGCAACGGAGCTGGGGCAGGGTCTGGAGCACAGGTCTGCTGGGGAGCGGCTGGGGGAACTGGGGGGGTTCAGTCTGGAGAAGAGGAGGCTGAGGGGAGACCTCCTGGCCCTCTGCAACTCGCTGCCAGGAGGGGGCAGAGAGGGGGGATGAGTCTCTGGAGCCAAGGCCCCAGCGCCAGGCCCCGAGGGAATGGCCTCAAGCTGCCCAGGGCAGGGTCAGGCTGGCTCTGAGGAAGGATTTCTGTGCAGAAGGGGCTGTTGGGCGTTGGAATGGGCTGCCCAGGGCATGGGGGGAGTCCCCGGGATCCCTGGAGGGGTTGAAGAGTCGGGCTGAGCCAGCGCTGAGGGGTCTGG